TGGGGGAGCTCACGGCTCCCTTAGCGAGCGCTGGCGCATGGAAACAGGCTGGCAGTCGCCCAGGCCAGCTTCCAACTCCAGAGGGCTAACTTCAAAGGCAGCTTGCTTATCTAATCATGTGCTGAACCCGCAAAACGGGGGCTCCGCGGGCTCTCCAGCCCCCGTTCGGGTGCTCGGCCACCCCTCAGAGTGTAACACTGTTCACACTGTGCTCACACACAGTTTTTGGGCACAAATTGAAATACAAGAAACTCCATTTAAACATGAGGAAACCCTTCTTTACTGTGAGGGTGATCAAACAGGAACAGGTTGCCCAGAGAGGTTGTGGCGCCTCCATCCTTGGAGACGTTCAAAACCCAGCTGGACACAGTCCTGGGCAACCTGCTGTGGCTGACCCTGCTTGAGCAGGGGGTTGGACATGATCTCCAGAGGTGCCTTTCAACCTCAATCACTCCATGATTCTGTGACCTCATGACCTATTTCTAGGTGGGGGCAATGTTTAGTTTTGAGGTTTGGCAGTCCAAAAATGCATTGAACTTCTTGTGTATAGAATTTCTTTTGGAGAGAAGGGATAAAGAAAAACCTCATATTCCTCCAAACTAAATTTAATTGGGTATAAATACATTCCATAATTATTGTTGACTTCGTTTAAACACTGAAACGACTTCTCACCTTACAAAGGTCATCATCCTCCTCTTTGGCAGGCAGAGAATTTAGATTGGTGCAGGAGTCAGAGTCTGATATGTCCAGTGAACCATCATCTTTTTCTGATCCATCACACTTATCAGTAGAATCACTGTCCTTCTCCCACTCAATGAACTGTGGTTCATCTAAAATAAAAATATTTGTTAAAATGCATTTTTCTTAATCATCATCCATATATTATTCATAAGTATGAATGCAAACATACTAATACTATAATTAGCTGGGGAAAAATGCAATACATTTTGCTACATATGCCCGATGGATCTTTATGTTTAACTATTTTTATAGATGATGAATGTGATCTTATCTCTCATAAAAGCCAAATCCTATTAGGTAATGAAAGTTTCTGTGAATAAAGATTAAAAAAAACTACATACAACAAAGATTTCAAAGCACTGCCCACGAGGGGATACTATTTTTAACTGCTTAGGTTGGTAGTTTTTTTAGTTTAGTTATTTTTTATTAGTTTTTCTAGTTGTTAGTTAGGGGTTTTCTGTCCATTTGCATTAGATTTTCAAAGTGTACTTGTTCAAACTTAACTGGTTTTAAGCAAATACCTCAGACAGTTACCTGGAGCACCTGAGAAGTTGGTAGATGTTAACATCTGCTGCAAGAGCGGTAAACTCCAGAGAAACAAAAAGGCTGGTTGAAATGGTAACCTCCTAAAACACTACAGCTAAATACACAAGTCTGTGACTCAAACCTTTAGGCACACCAGACAGAGGATTCCTTCCTCACGATCATGCGATGTTCAGTGCAACTACAGAAGTCCATTCACACCATCTGAGGGGTGAGAGGATCTTCTTCAGTGGAAGCCTGAGCTGCCTCCGTAGCAGCCCTCACCACCTTTCAAGTCCACCTGAACATGTGGCCATAAGTTACTGAGAAGAAAAATCTCATTCTATTTTGTATAAATAAGCTTATTTGGAGAAGAAGGGGCAAGAAGTTGTTCGGCTGGTTTTGCTTCTGTGCTTTCGCAAATAATGTAAATGTCACATTTCTAACACTGAAAGAATCATATACAGGGAACAGGAAGCAGAGCAAGGAAAAAAAAATCTATCAAATGCTCTAGGCATTTTTATAGATATATGGATCTGCGATAGTACATTTCAGAATTTACAGTGCTACTATAGTCTATATTACTCATTTCTTAAGGGAACTTCCAAAATTCTGAAGTCATCCAGACAAACACAGCACTCTGGTGGTTGCTTTTACCACATACGCAAATGCATTTCTTTTTCTAATTATAAGAAAGTCGTATCAAAAAGAACTTGTAAACATAGACATTGGTAAGTCTGTGTAACACAAACAGGTCTCTTGAAGCGGTGTGGAAAGTATGACTGCAACATAAATTCCTTAACGAAATATGAGACAATCAGTTTTATCTTATCAAGTTGACACTTTGTCTCTGAATCTTACATCCTTTCACATAAAGTTCACACTTTTAAAAACCTTTCCTCAGCTACCATCGCCACATGTATAATTAGACACACATAATATGCACACACACACACAGATATACACCTACAATACCATAATTACTGTGTATGATGCTTACTTGAAAAAGCATGGAATACCCAGTTCTCTTTCTCCCCACTTCTTTCAGTAACTCAATACATTTGGGGGTTTAGAAGAAGAAGAATAGGAAAATATTGGATTTCCTCAGTGCCTTCAAGCATGTACCTTCCATAAAGTATCAAGGTTCCTTCATTTGCATGGAGAAACCAAATCTCGCTATCTCATGAGAGCAGAGTTTCTCGAGTAGCAGTCTGCATATTCTCTCTCTTTACAAAAATAAAAGACTAAAATCTGCAGGATATATTCATTGCTACTGAATTGTCCCTTACATAACGCTTATAACGAACAACTGCAATATGATGATATCAATGACAGGTTAAAAAGATTCCTTGTGAGCGTTACATTGCAGTCTAGAAAATAGATAGTCCTTCCATTTCAACAAGAAGGAAAGAGAGTTACTAGGAATTACAGCAAATGACCATTTCTCTCCCTTCTGTCACCCACTGCTCCACGAATCAGAAAATTAATCCCAAGAACAAAACTCACTGCTGTTCACACAATGCAGCTAACAGGAAACAAGGAATACTGTGTACTGAAATGAAACTCCTACCACAGGAAACGCTAACCGCTACTGCAAAGTCTGCTACATCTAGGCAGTGGATGCAGATAGCAATATCACTAGTAGAACAGAGCAGGCAGCTCAAGGTGTTCACAAGCCCTGTATCTATACCACAGCACAGACAAGGAAATGGTAGAAACAAACTCTAATATATTGAAATGAGCTGACATGCTTCATATGATACTGTATAACCTGCCCAACTCTGCTCCTTCACCCCAGAATTTAAATTTTTTGTACACAACTTACAGTAAGAGCTTATTCTACAGTCAGATGAAGTGGATGAAAAAATCCAACTGATTTAACCGAAACGGGATTAGATCTTGCTATTTTGTTAGAACGGCCTCCAAGTATTTTCATTGCCACATCTGAAGACGACAGAGGTTTCTTGACAAATCTGCTTGTCTTTGAACTTACCTTCACCACTTCTGTCCTCTGACAATAAATTATGTCTGCTACATGATTTCTCTGTTTTGGATGCATAACTTTTTTCACTCAATAACCTTGAAATCGATGTTTTATTTTCATCATCTGAAAAATCACTGCCACTAGAGCTCCATATTATGTCCTCAGACTCCTTAGAGCTTTCAGCAGCAGAAGATCCTATTAAAAAGGATTGTAAAGCATGAGACTATTACAGAAAATTAATATTGTTAAATGTAAAATTTTTAAAAATTAAGCTATGTTCTTTGTGACCTGAAAAAATATTATCAGTTCTATTCCCAAGCATCACTTCTGTCCCCAAGCATCACAGACCAATACAGGAGTGTTAACTCACAGGCATTTCTTGTACATACCAGCAGTATTTTCATTTCAGTTCTCCAAGATAAATGCTAACACTTCCTTTTGCATCAGGAGGCTATCAGTCAGTCGTCCAGCAGAGGACGGACTGGAAATGACCATCTGACATACAGTCCGCTACTCACAGTCCTAATGCTCCCGTATATGCCCTTCTAAAATACTAAATGGTTTAAAAGAAGACCATCCGTACAATTCTGGATTTTGGACTTCTCATACTTTATGCAATGAATAACAACTGAATATACGTATAACACCATTACAGATGACTTTCCAGTTTTGTCCTGAGAGAAAAATCATCAAACTTTTCAGGGGTAACAACTTCAAAAACACAACAGATATTCTTTAAGCGAGACAAACTTAATTCAAAATACCTTTGCTATTTTTAAAAATAAAAGTAAAGAAAGGAGTAATGTTTAACAGTAGAACATTCAGTATTAGCAATCATAAGAGAACAGAACTTTCCACCTCCTACCATTATCAACGCTTTTTAAGTAAACGGTAAGTTAGGCAATTATTGGGTATTTAGGATTAGACAGGAGGGCCAAGGAGAGAGAAATAGGCAATTGTATCTCCTCCTGCAACACACAGAGATTCTTTTCAGAAATCTGGAAAAGCATGATTTTGAACCCCAAAGGAGGGTAGAGAAAAGGTGCCCAATGTGTCACTTATTTTTAACTCCAGAGGCAGCTTTGCTGCTAGGGCAAGTAGAAATACAAGAGGGAAGAAGCCACTACTCCCTCTTTCTTTCCTTTCCTGTGGAGTCAAAAAGCGAAAAAACTGGAGTCTATAAATGCTCCTCCCCTTTATTACGCCTAGAGTTAATTTTTATCATGATACCAAATGGATTAAGGTACATATAGACGACTGTGAAAGCAGGCAATTGCCAAAATTCTGTTTTACCATCCATTCATAATACTTAAAAAATAGACTTTCCCTTGTCTACGCTTCCTTGTCCGTCTCCAAAGGGAACAGAAGAGAATTGTTTCGTCCTCTCTCTGGTTGTTTTCATTCTCTCCTCTTAAAATGTGAAGAATTAAAATATCACGTCACTGCTAGAAGAAACACTATATACAGCATTAGTGATGATGCTTCCATCTGCTCAAGAGCAATAGCTCAAGTTCCCTCAGCTCTGAAGAATATATTTCTGGTGCTCTAAGCGAAGAGAGGAGCCCAAACGCAACAGTATCAAAATTGTGTTTCTTAACAAAGTTAGCTTCTGTACGCACAGATTACAAGAACAAACGAAGAAAATCACAAGTATTTTGAGCCAATTCTACCGTGAAAAGGGACAAAGCAAAATGAGAGTCTTTCGACAAAGTGAACATGAAATAGCCATAACATACCTACTGTGCTTTCAGCAGATGTTACCAGTGGTCCAAGATGCTTCTTAATCTTGAATTGCTTATCAGTAGGTCTCAGGGACTATATTAAAAAAATAGAGAGAAGGGAGATTTAATCACCAAGACAGACGTTAAGGACAATTTTAACATATAGCAACGTACTCATCAGAACTGTTATTCACCCACCACAACTCGATAGCACAACTTCAAATGTTGCTTTCCATCTTCCACCAGACTCAATACAACAAATGAGATAACAAATCATGAAAGAACAGTAACAGAAAAGATGAATTTTTGTTGTTTTGGAACATATAACCTTACTATGACTATGAGAGACATTACATCTGACCTTGCAAAGAACAAGAGCCAGTATTTTCAGCATTAAAAAGCTTAATAAAACATACACCCTATTCAAAGGTTACAGAAAGAAGCATTCAGTGGTCCTGTTTCTGATTTTATCAATTCCCACAAGCTACACAATACCATGATTGCTCAGAAGCAGAAGAAGAAACAGAACAAGCCAGTCGGAGAAGATTATTTTCAGCACACAGCACTTCTCACTCAGAGCTGGGTGAACACTGAAGAAAGTTAAGCAGAGTTTAATTAATCGTCCAAAACAGCATATGCACCATGGTCCGCATCTGCCGGGTCATCAAAAAGCAGAATTGTCCACAGCGAAATAATTACTGCAAACACGCTCTTTATAGCTAAAAGAAATTCTTTAGATGCAGACTAGAGTCATTGTTCCATAATTTTTAGGGAAAGGCAGTACTCCGTTTCAAATGGCAAATCATTTGTGTATGTCTAAGTGCAGTTTTGAAATTTTTCAAGTCATAAGTGCTATCCAAAACATAAGATATTAACATATGCGCAGAGAATTACACTCATAAGTTTAGACAACGCCCTTAAGTAACCTTGCTTTCCATTTTTCTCTATCTCAGCAATTAAAATGTTGTTAATTTGCAAACAACACTTAAAGAAGGGTCACATCTTATAATTCAGTGAAACATGGAACTTCTTTAGCTGTCAGTTTGCATCTCTTCACTTTACCTCAAACACTGAAGTGCTCTGAAATCCATCCCCACACCTAAGCCATGCATTGGAAATTGAAGTAGCAGCTACTGATGTCCGGACATTTGTTTTTTTAAGCTGTAGGGGTGTCTCATCTGGGAAGGGCGTGCATTCTGCATTCCAAAATCGCTTCCGCTACGAGGTAAAAAACAAACCCATTAAAAAAATATTAAGTGTATACACACAATTCTTTCCAGGTGAAGTTTACTTAATCTGCTCAGCCCCTTCTTCCCGAGTACTTACAAACATAAATTCCGATTTTTAATGAGCTAGGGGAAAAAAAAAAAAAAAAAAAGTCTTCAACACTTGCAACCATTTTATATGCAACATCATATAATAATAATAATCCCAATGACATGGGTAAATTCAATCTTTGATAACTGCATTACTTTCTGTTGATCTAAGTAGCGTCTGTAGCATCTGTCAGCTGTCCAACAAATCTGAAAATATTATCGTAAACAGGAATAGCTCAGTAAAATACATTGTAACGAAACAATTCCTTCAAAACGACAATGCTGACTAGCATACACATTCTCAGCCAGGCTGGTCAATCAAGACTATAATATACACTCAGAACTAAGAAGCAGATGCAAAAGCAAAGCCTTTGGCAGCTTTGGCTTTTTGGCAGCTTATAATCTGTATGTTTCCTCTAGATCTTTTAATGCTTATAAGAAGCAATATATAGCTTTGCCCCTCCAGTCAGCCAGTCCTACTGTACGGTGAAATGACTACGTAAAATAAATTTAGCAATTTTCTCTGATGGCAACCGACCTTACTAAAAACCTATATGAAATTTGCTGAGGGTATTTGAACCGCAGAGTCGCTACTATGAGAGGTCATTATCACCAAAGCCAAACTGTTCCCATAGTTACTCCTACTTTTTTTTTTTTTTTTAAATGACAAGGAGTACAACCTTGAATCTGCCGTGGTATTAAATCAAGAGTCAAAGCACAATTGTAAGGACACGATAGCAAGTAAAGAGGCTACGGCAGTTTAAACAAGAAGGGTTACAACTACTATACAAACAAAATTGAAACCCTTCTTTCCTCCAAGTAATGACACTGTCCCAATCCTCCATTTTCAGGATGTTTACATGTGAACTTCTACATTGCGCTATTCTCCTGGCAAGTACTTCTGGCTCTGCACAGACTCTGGAAACAGTAATAACTGAAAAAAGTTAAGGCCAATTTTCAGGTTATGTGGCAAAATGTCACAGCTATGCCTCAGACCACTCATTTACTTTCTCTTTACTTCCACGTCCCCGAGAGCGGGTGATATTTTCCATAACTGCCAGTTAGAAACAGGCCTGTGCTATCCCCTAAAAGAAATCAACAGGCAACAGCTAGCGGGGGGCAGAACTGTACCAGGGAGTGGGGTAAGACTTAACAGTACAGCCAAGCACGTACCATTGCTCAAACCCATGCTTCGGTTCTAGCTAGTTTATTAGTAAGAGACATAGCAAAAGGGCCTGACTGTTCAAGCTTCATTGGAGATTACTCACAAAAATCCAGGTAACATCATCATATGCATCTATAATGCTGTATTATTTTTAATCTCATTTGAGATTACATAGGAATACCTACCTATTGAGTGAAGAATAAAACCCTTTATCAACTGGTAGAAAGCAGAAGGATAAAATTCTATACATTTTTTACAATTAGACCCAAGCCATTTTGACTTTTTGCAAAAAAAAAAAAAAAATTCTTATTTGTCCATTTGTTTTTTCTACCTTAGCAAGTGCTGGAAGCCTTGCTTACATTTACGTTCTCGTAGCTTCTAAAAGATTTTTGTAAGATGCATTTTGCAGACAAAAGCTTACATTACATGGGAAAATAAAATGCAGTTCACCTAAGCTTTATTTTTTAAATGGCACACTCCAGTTTTGGAGAACACATATCTGTGCCAACAAGAGCACTATGACTGGCTCGCAAGTTTAAAACAAACTGCTTTCAATGGTCAATTAAAAGCAGAAAGAATCACAAACAAATCAAAAATCCATACACAAATGCATGCCTGAAGAGTTGTGTAAAACAAGCTTCAAAATATGTATCTGTTGTCAGGCATAATAAACACAGAACTAGAGAATTACTGTGTTCTGTTAAGCTTCTCATCCATGTTATCTTTCAACTCGTAAAACTCCTTTAACACAAAATCCCTCTGCTTCTTTATACTGTGCAGTACCAATGGAAGTTAAAAAAAAAAAAAAAGGTACAGAAAAGGTACAGTGTAAGAGGCAGAGGAAGAACAGCAGAATGGGGCTGCCGTGGTACAGCCAGTGTTTCAAAACTGACAAGATTTGGGAAGGAATTGCTGTATAAAAATGGGCAGGATAAGAGCTAATGTATTAACATCCTCTCCCTAGATGAGGAGAGTTCAAGTGCATAAAGAAAGGGTAAGTCTTCAAATAGACACAATTTTTAAAAGCTGATATGAATAGAATAAGTAGTTTTTTCACACTTAGATGGTTTAGGTCACCATGCTTATGTTTACATGGTTACAGTAAGCCTTCAAAATGAGTTTAGGTTCAAACCTAATTAAGAGATACTAAGATATAAAATTATCCTACCCTGTGTAGAACCTTACTCCTCTTTAGTACAACATGAAGTTGCACTGGAAGTTACTTTTAAACAGCTGGGAATATTTCCTTTGGTGGCCATCAGATAATTGTGACTGTGATAGGCAAAAATAGTTTTAATAGTTAATGACTGTTAATAACAGAAGAGTGTCATTTAATCCTCCACTTCCTTAGCCTGAGGTTTTTTTTCAGCGAGGGCTGAGGGCTGAGTAGATTTCGGAGCAGGACTACAGGGATGCGTCTCAACATGTTTTCGCATTACAGATAAGGTGGGCCCACAAACTGAGTTCCACTCTACTCTGCATTGCTCCTCCTCTCCCTTACTTCTTTGCTTGCACTTGGTACTCATGGGAGACCGTGCAGACCTGGCGATGAGGAATTAAACTGGCAGAAAACTTACTTTGCTTGGGAAGACACGTTAGTTACCTACAGCTGGCACAGAGGAAGCAGAAAGACTACAGGGACCAGTCTAGCAGCTGCTTAACGTTCTGTCAGCTCAATCATAATCCAAAGAACTGTCAGTACTGCTAGTTCTTAATAACTGCCTTGCCACATGTTGTGGTATACAGACACAGAAAAATCTTAGAGCTTCTGTTACCACCACTAAGACATTTACAGCCATTACAGTCACTGAGAAACACTGAAAACAGTTCCTAAAGCCCCAGAATCAGAAAGCAGAGAAACACTGCCTACATGTAAGATTTTCTTTAACTATCACAGATTCCAGGCAAATATCATTGGGGGGAGGAGAGATAAGGAGTTAACTCATGATTTCTGATGTTGACAGCAGCGACTTTCAGATCTGTGCCTTTAATGCAGATACCTCTCCACCATTTTCCACATCTTACTCCACTTCAAAGCAAAAACAAACAAACAAAACCACCCTAAAGACACCCTCCTCTCCAACTACTTGACAATTTAAATCTCTAAAGAAATATCTACTAGTGTGAATTCTGGAAACTGAATCTACAACCTTGCCTCCTAGTTACTGAGGCAGGAGTTTGTGACAGTAGCACTGCATACACACACATACTCTGAACAATTTTTAAAAGAAAAAATGCTGTATAAAAACTATATTATTTTAACATGCGTAAACTCATATTTATGTGTACATGTAATCTTGAAGCATATAAATGTATTTTAATTAAAAAGCTGTAATTCAAACATTATATGAAATGGAAAAGAGTTACAGAAATACAAAGATACAAAGTTACAGGACATGCAACTCCTCACGAGAAAAAGTCTCCAGAATACAATGACACCCGAGGGTAACCTCAGGGTTAAGACTACAACTAGAGGAATAGGAGGCAGATATAGTGACTACACTTTCTCCACAGAACTAGTATTGCTGCTCTTCAAATTACAAGTGTCTGATATTTTGAAGGGAGGCCAGCTCTGACATGGCACAGCCACGGGACCCGGGAGCAGGCGAAAGCTGTGCGAGAGCGAGTGCGGAGAAGCCCTGCTGGGGCCTCACCTCACCCAAGAGCTGCACCT